AATGAAAATTTAACAGCTGCTTTACTTGACGTTATTACTAAATTGAATTACTAAACTAATGATTTTTTTTAACGGTTTAACCTATATAAAGTAGAGAAAAAATGAAACTAACCCATCCTTTTTGAATAAATACATTATTTTGATTTTAACTCAATCATCTATTATATTAACACGGTTTTACAGCTCTATTATAAATAAAATCATGCAAATGCTGAATGTCTCAAACAGTTTACTTTGTAAGTTTAGTCAGTCACATCTGAAACACGTCGTGCTCACAATTCAGAGCGGTTAATAATCAATAAACAAGCTCATAATTCACCACACAAGTTGACACGTAGAAATATCTCAATAAAAACATGTCGCGCCATGTTACAGTTAGAAATACCAGTGTATTTCAATGTTCTCATACGTTCACTCAGACATTTGTCAAAGTCACCACGGATTGTAATACAATGCTTCTTTTGTTTACGGCTGATGTGCCGTATTAGGTTCGATTTTCGAGTTACAAAATTCTTATTTATAACTTCTGAACTTCGATCAACAATGTTGCTATTGTTGATCGAAGCTTCTGAACTTAAAATTTTAACGAGATTTGTTAATATCTCTACTGTTTGCAGTCATGGGTTTTTTACCGCCCAGTGTTTATATGAATATTAGCTTATGAATAGTTTTATTTTTTATTTTTACATATAATACTAGCTGACCCACGCAACTTCGTTCAAAAATAATAGACTTTTCATTAGTTCTCTGCTCCTAAACGTCGCTCCACTATTAAAAAACATATTGTAGTGAACGAAATTGTGAATCGAAACTATTATAGAATCCACTTGAACACACAAAAAATTTCATCAAAATCCGTCAAGCCGTTTAGGAGGGGGTCATCACATACACACGCACATAATTATATATTTAAGTATCAAAAGCAAGCACATAAGTATCTAAAAGTGGTGTCCGTCAGTGATATCCGCGTTTTCAAACCCATAGTCTGTACAATATATTTGTGTCCCATTAGTATTATAAACGTGAAAATTTGTGAGGATGAATGTGTACATGTTTGTTTCCTAATCACGCAAAACAACTGTAAGGATCTGTATACATTTTGGCACAGTGATAGATTATAGTCTGGAATAGCACCCTACTTTTTAACATGGTAAAATGTTTGACAACGAGATTTGAACGAGAAACAGCAGCTTAAAAGCTAGTTATCTATGTGTTAATAAGCGATGAGAATGTCAATTGTCAATTTAGTAGAGCGTGTCACTTAAAAGTCTGGAAAAAAATCGCGGTATGAAATTTTCATTACTACACAGGTAATAATAACTTGATTACAAAATAAATACAAAAATTTTAAAACTAAGTTTTTGTTGGACACTTCCAGTAATATTATATACTTTTCAATCGAATGTGAAAACGGGTGTACTCGTTAGTAAGCAATCTTTTTTTACTATCAGTTAACATTGATTGATTCGATTGCTGGGCACGTGAAAGTGCAATAAGAACTCGATGCTCGTCAGAAAAGTTAATTTCAATTAGAGTTACAACTATAAGAGGAAGCAACGGTCTAATGAAATTTTTAAAACGCAATACTTTGCGTGTTTTTTTTAGGGACAGAACTTTGAGAATTTTTTAATAAATTTGTAGTGTCCGTTATTTTAATGGGTATAATGTATATTGTTCAATTTAGAACTTTTGATTGTATGCATTTTACTATAACATAACTTTTTTCCTTAAAGTTTTAGTGTCGTAAGAGCCGACTAAGGGAGCAAACTACGCAGAACGACAGTACTGCAAAGAGAAGGAAAACTTGACACAAACCCTATGGTATGGTATTCTCTTCGTCCGTCTTCCCGTCCGGTCAGCGTGGTATAGTAGGCCAAAACCTCCTTTCTAAGGAGAAGTCTAAGTCTGGTAGTGGACTAATCAAGGCTGTTGTTGTGAAGATGTGATGTGATGTGATATGATGATAATGATGTTTGACTGCGGTATTCTATAGCATTGAGCATACCTAGTCAATTTATTTTATAATGAGAGTCAATTCTGATCTCCCTAGGGTATATAACTTTTCTGACTTAAAGGTATCCTAATGCCTTCGGTTTGCTTACGTTTTTTGTAGATTTTGTAAGTCAATTCCGATCTCCCTAGGGTACATAACATTTTCTGACTAAAAGATATCCTTTACTCTTGGCTGGGTTACTAAATCTATATCTATATATATACATATATATATGAAAGAAAGTCGTGTTAGTTACACTATTTATAACTCAAGAACGGCTTTACCGATATGGCTGAAAATTGGTGAGGAGGTAGCTTAGAGCCAGGAGACGGACATAGGATACTATTTATTCCGTTTTTTTTTTTGTATCGGCGTCGATCACCAGATGACAACGGTGGAACTATCACAACAAAAGTGAAAAGAATGGATTTCGTTGTCGACAACAGTTGTACCTAATTTTTTTTTCTAAGAAACAAAACGAACTTAATAAATTCGAAAATCGGCTTATTTATTGCCTTTAAGGCGGAACAGAGTTCGCCGGGTCAGCTAGTTTTTTATAAACAAATCAACTTACAAACACACATTTATTTACACACTCATAATATTTTACTATCAGTTGATGCACATTAATCTAAGTTGTAATAATTTTCGTTTAATCTTCAATCTCTAACAAAATCTTATTAACACGGGAGTGAAGGATGTTGCGCAAACATTTAATAGGCTTGAGCGTAAATACTTCTAACCTTTGTCCATATTAATAGTCCACAAGATTATCTCTTATGAAATGTAGATAGTTGATGAGATTCTATAAACAGGAAGAATTATTACCACTTGTGTTAAGGAAGGAGCATCCGCCAACACGACATAAGGCAACACTTAATATCACTACAATATTATATATTAACACGCTTTTATTAGCTTGGTATGTATGTTCGCATGTATCTATGTATGTATGTATCTATGTAAAGGAATCTTTGAACGCGACTTTGACCCACTTCAAAACGTCGAATTAAATTAAAACTTCGTGCACTTATCAAGGACCAATGACAATACAAGAATTTGATAAATGTGACCGATTTCCTGAGCAGGATCTTCAGGATTAAAGGCTTTTTCACACCTAAAAATACGGTCTACCTAAAAATGTATTTTGCTACGTACTGAGAGGCGTGTGCTGAAGCATATGTGATTCACTTACTTGTTACTTTTTTTTAGTTTTAATAAGAAAATAATCATCTTTAATGATTCACATCAACAGCCTTTACTAGTCCACTGCTGGACATAGGCCTCTCCTTAGAAAGGTTTTGGCCTACTATACCACGCTGGCCAGACGGGTTGGTATAGGGTTTGTGTCAAGTTTTCCTTTTGTGAACTAAGTCGGCTCTTACGACACCCACGGGATGAATTGGAGTAGTGACATTCCGTATTCTTAGTCCGTCAGTACTCGGACATCCGTCACTAAACATTAATCATTAAAATAGCAAAAATGAATTAGGTAAAAACAAAACAAAAAAAACACGGTTTTGTAACGAGCCGAACTAAAAAGTAGAAAATATTTTTCTACAAGTTCAAAAAGAAAAATCATTTTATCGTAAGAAAGGCAATCTCAACAAAAGAAGATACATATCTAATTAATTTCAGATTAATAACAAACATTGCGACATGTTTTCAAGATTTAATAATATATAACAAAATCATGGCCGTCTTTAACCTATCAGAGGGCCTGGGCACATTGGAATAATGGGGCCCCTACGACCTTGATTAATTCATATATTATAATTAGTATTCTGTTAGAACAACCAAAAAAGGTCTTATAATTAGCAATTTTTGCTGGATTTTTCTAAATAAATATGGTTTTCGGTAATAAATATCGATTTTCGAATTAGGTAGGTAGGTAAGAATTAGGGGGCCTCTATCTATCGAGGGGCCCTGGGCACGTGCCAAGAGTGCCCAGTGGGAAAGAGGGGCCTGAACACAATACACCTAGTATATATGACTCCACTTATTGAAGTTGCCGCGTGATGACGAAGCTAAACTAAGAGCTAGAGCGTGAGAGAAGCCTACCAAAGATTATCGTGACCCAAATACGCAAATATTATACTCGAATATAAATTCTTCAGAACGGTTAGCAAACCAATTTTAAATACTACGCTTACTATGCTCGCTATTTTATTACTAATCTTCATGTTAGTAAATATTTATAACTAAATAACAGCTAATGTAAATTGAAATGTAATGTAAAACCGTTATCTATGGTCCATTTAATAAGGACGTTGATCTGTTCATTGTATATCAATCAGTCAATCTACGACAGTTACAAGTAAACCCTTTAAGGTGTATTTCAACGTAACCGCAGTTAGAAACAGTTCCTGTTGGGACTTTTTATAGCTGCCATCTTTTTCCTTAGTCTACCCTTTTATCGTCGCTCAGAACATTGCAAGTCGGTATTCTATAGTTTTTAATACTTAAGCTGGGCACCATTACTGGGTTTACATTCCAATGTATAATGCATACCGTTACTACTGTCAGTAACTACGCATCATAGTTCTTAGAACTTTCTTATACCTATATTTAGTGTCGACTTTTAATGTGCGGAATTCCTTTATACCACGTGATGTGCAACTAATATTGAACGGTTCATCATGGTCACGTATTTTTGTAGCATACTAGCTGGTACTTCCTTGGCGTGGAATTTGAAAAGCGCTGCCTTAGTGTATTCAATTCGCGGACCGGGCAAAATCTTAAAGTAGTATGAGTAGTAGCAGTGATGATGACGCGGTTAGATCCATACGCGGTTACGGCGTGGGACCTCCCCCGTGAGATTTGGAGGCGGAAGTATATCGCCCGCCCGAAAAAGTACGCGAAATATTCGGCCGAATAGTGGAAAAAATTGCCGAATAGGCGAATACCGAATAGTTAGGGAATATTCGTTGCATCGCTAGTCGTCAAGTCCAAAAACATTATCAAAAACATCAGTAGAATGATTATAATACTAAAATTCGAACAGTACCTAGGTTCCCAGTTAGCTGCAAGCCTTCTTCGTGATCGCACTCGAAGTCGCATACGCACTTGTCTGGTCGCCTCTCCTCGTACACTCACTACTGCTGCTCCTCCTTGACTCGATGATAACTGGTAAATACAAACTCAAATTAGGAAACCATTTTTAACGATTGAAAGAGATGCTCGATATCCCTAAGTAGAATGCAAAGAGTTGCAAATAACAGTGCTTCTTAATAGATATTGATATGCATTTTACGGACCTGTGCGTCTAGTGGTTACCCAGGACAAATAATTGTGTGATGAGCACGATCATTTGTTCTGTGTCGTGTGTGTGTATGGTTATATTAAGAAATTTAAAAGTATTGTGCAGGAACGGATGTGTTGTCCCTCAACATAAAGGGAGGATCATACTGCCGTGTGTGAGATGTGTGAAGTTATTATTTAGTAACTTGACTTGTAATTAACTATCTATGTAAACGATTGTTCGAAGTAACGCAGCAGATATATTATAGATATGTATGTACGTATATATTATTTGTTCGACGTTTGTTAATATTTTGCTCTGTATTCAAAATCCCATTCGTCCCGATAGCTTGTATAACATACGTTCTAAATGAGAAATCGAAATCATCCTTTAAATTGTTTGCGTTACTTTGAATATAAAGATTTAAATTTGTACTTTTTGGACTTTAAAAATCACAATAAAATAATTATACATAATATACGTACCACTAAAACGTATTTGTCTTGTTGTGATATATTTAACGAGAATGTACTCAAGTCTTCACTACTGTTTTCTTTTCTCAACATTAGATGTCCTGCAAATTAAGAGAGAAAACATTATATAGTGTACATACATAGTTAGGTACATGTCCTATGATATTATACAACAAGCTACGGTTTTTTGGTATCAAATTCGGTACTATCTATTTTTTAAATTATAATAACTACTCTTAGAAACCGCAGAACCGACAACCGTTGGGGAAAACGAGATCTTGACTGGAGACGGCGTCTCGTCAATCGTAGTGTAGGATGCCCACAGGCCAGGTGGAGTGACGATTTGCGCAAGATGGCTGGCAGGAGCTGGATGCGAGAAACCCGAAATCCATCTAAGTGGCGTGGCCTAAATCCTGTATCCAGCCAGTGGACTGCAATAGGCTGATGATGATGACTCTTGGAAAAAATGTTATATTGCGCTGAAGAAGACTTCAGACCAAACTGACATAATTCATTATGTATGGATGTAATTTATTATGAGTTTTTGTATGTATTTAGTTAAAATATATATAAGTATGTTTATCAGCTCACGGTGCCACGATATTATTATTACTGTGCTTCTCGTTCTTGCGTCTTAAGTTATTCAAAGTTAAAATGTTTTTTTTTATTTAACTTTGACCGTGACCTTATCGTTATCGAAATTGTTAATTTTAATAATCCTTTACCGTAACGATACCACGCTAAGTTTGTGGAATTCTTTATTATTTCCTAATAATTGTCAACAAAAAAGGAAAGGCACAAAGGGACTCCAAAGGCAGCAACGTACTTGTGACTTTTAAGTTGCAGGTGTCCATGGGCGGCGGTAGTTACTTACCATCAGGTGACCCTCTGGTCAGGTCTGCTCGTTTGCCCCCTTATACCATAAAAAAAGAACACAAAAAGTAAAAATTTAAATGTGTCTTACCACTACTGCTAGTTGACTTGCCATGGTATAAAGCCCAGTGGAAGTCTCTCGAACACTGACTAATGGAGAAAAATACCACTGACTGTGAAATCGAAGTGGTGTTTAATTCAAGGCTGAAACAAACAAACAATGCTTCTTTAAAGACAACACCCGCGTTAGGAACATAACCTGCGTCGTGGGGAATTTTACAAACATACATATAACGGACACAAAGAACAGCCATACTCAGAACAACAATCTGTGGATCACACAAAGTGTCTTCCCATGTGGGGATCGAACCCACAACACTCAGCGTAGTAGTAAGCGGCGTGGCGACCGCTTAAATCTATACGCCATCCGTGCAGTGAATTTCTTTTTCTTTCAGTATTTGTATTTTCAATCTATAATAACCATACTTCAAAATAAAAAAATATTCATTTATACCTACCTATATAGATCGATCAATAAGCTCTTATTGGAATTAATCCTTAACATACTCCTTAGGCTATCAAGACCTACCATAATATTTCAGAAACAAAAACGAAGAACAGTCAAATCTATAAAATATAAATCAGATTTTGAATGTAAGTTATGACTGAGTACTTAAAATATACATCAACATCACGGTGTAAAAACTGGAGATAACACAAATATGGATAGGAGATAAAACCAAAGCGTTCAGTTGAAATACGAGGCGGCATACCCAGGCCGGTGTGGAGACAGATTAAGAATACGGATTGTCACCACACCCAATCATCCCGTGGGTGTCGTAAGAGCCGACTTAAGGAGCAAACTACGCAGGACAACAATACTGCAAAGAGAAGAAAAACTTGACACAAACCCTATACCACCCGTCTGGCCAGCGTGGTATAGTAGGCCAAAACCTATTTTCTAAGGAGAGGCCTATGTCCAGCAGTGGACTGTTAAAGGCTGTTGATGATGATGATACCCAAGCCAACTCTTAACAGTTACAGAATAGAACAAAACGTCATAAATTTATCTTCAGTTACTTGTGCCATAAAGTATTCGGCATTTTTTCTCAGTTAAAGAACTTATTACATATTATGAAGTTGATTTGTGAATTTAACGATGTACATTTAAAAGTTCACTCTACGTGTACAGGTTTCTCGTGATTTCACCAAGGTCTGGCGGTATAAAATAGTTATTAACTTACAATGTTCAGAATTTATGTGTTATTACAACCTTAATTTCTTATTTTTAATATTCAATGTAGCCAGTCTATAAACGGTTTGACAGATGTTTATCAGAGTACGCTACATAAAGCTGTGGTTATCATCCTTTAGTCATACTTAAATACTAAATAACCATTTACAAGTATCATTCGGTCATGAATTGAACTTACGAGTACATTCTTGATATTAAGTGATTTACATTTATTATAAGAAGGGAGAGGGACAACTAGTAGTGTAATTTGGATAAAATGTATATAGAATGGTGTGATATACTCAATTCGTCTGATAACACTAATCTCGTAATGGAAAATAAAAACTGAAGTAACCAAAAAAAGTTATCCTATTTGCATTTATTATGCATTTACGAAGCATTTTAAATGCAAATTAAGTGTAGTCCTAGTTTTCGAGTTTTTGAGTTTAAAGCTATTAGTTGATTAATCAGATTATTCCCCGTTTTGAAATTAGTAGGTAAATTAATTAATTTCATTTTTTTATTTCTAGAAAACTATGTGGAATTTTTCATACAGTAGTTTTACTATAACATTTGTAATTTGAAGGTCTTTTGACATACTCTGTGCTCTACGAGGCACGAAGGGGTCTCAATGTGGTAATAAATGATCACCCTTCCATAGACTGACCCCCCTAGGATTGCTTAACTTTGCAGTGTTTTAACCTCAAAATTATTTTATTTTATTGTTTGTTATTTTCAGCAAACTTCAATAGTTCTTTTGTTATGAGACGGTGATACGCCCATAGGGTTTTGCCGACAAGCAACCTCTATAAGTAAATATACACTAAATATCGCCTAGCGAGTACCTATGACTTAAACTGTCACTGTGAAGACTACAAATACATTTAAAAATATATACTAGGCCTCTATAGTTTTATGAAGCCTTTTAAACTTAAGTTTTGACTTTAAAGCATTTTTATTTTTATTTTAGCTTTCTGCACTTCCTCTTACAACATTATTTTTAAAAACATTTCAGTTCAATATTCTTAAATATTATAATGATATGCGTTACAAAACTTTGTACTACTCTGAACTAAACTGCGTTGCCTGCATTTCAGCTTACGTGGGTACTTAGAAAGTTCATATACCATTTTCCTTTTACATGTATCAGGAGGATAAGTAAATGTATTCCGTCTGAGACAGCACTAAGACCTCGTAAACGTAAAATATTTTGCAGTCCAATATGGCCTTACCTTCGACTTTCTCCTTTTCCTAGTCTGTATATTGTTTGGTTGTCAATCGGCAGCCATTCCACCGCTACTCGAGAAACAGGCCTAGTGACCAGAACTGCTGGAGATGCGAGTCCGGCTCCCGCTGCATGAAAAACTAGTAGGCTCGCTAGTCTTAGTGTAAAAATATTTAGTTTGCTGTAACAAAGAAAATCATAGAATAAATGTTTATGTATAAATCTTCTTAAAGTGTCATTGGATGTATGTTGTGGTCCTCGGAATTAAAAAAATCATATTGATAAATATGGGAAGGTAAACCTAGAATCATCCAGCTAACGGCTCACGCAACGCAACAAAATTAAAAGACGTTATTTTCTTGTTGTATTGCCTATATTTATGCCTAAAAATATTTATAAAACTTATTAAAGGAAATAAAAAGCCTTTTTATTTATTGTGTATTAGATTTTGTTCCCGTCTTGTTTTTCGTATTATATTTTGTAGTTTACCAGTTCCGGGTGATATACCTGTAGCTATACTCATATTGATATATACTTATAATTCCTAATTCGTAACATCATTTAAATAAGTCATATCCATATTGAACACGTTTTAATTCGGAATACCGGCGCTTTGTTATTAAAACAACCAAATGCAGTTGAACTTCTTGTATTCACACAACGAATCAAATTTACAACTCCAAATGCCGACAAAAACACTTTACATCGCCAAGTATATTTACCTGCCTTGGTAACCAAACGATAGCGCGACTCAGATAACCGAGAAAGCGCCATCTATCGAGTGGCAGGTGAAACTTTTAGTAATGCTTTAGACATACCGCCCACCAAGGACATATTGCAAAGTGTCCTTAAACAACAAGGAATGGAAACCGCCCACCCTGCAACAGGTTAGCCAAGGAAACCTGTATCTGTCATTGGTGGTTTACAATTGTCAAAAAAAAAACTTAAATATACAATTGGTATATGTGAATTCTAATATAATAACTAAAGTTAACCTAACATATTTATACAAACTACTAAAGCATAAAAACAAAATTTTCAATTAAGGCTTAACCTCAATTTACTTAGCACATAGACAATATCATATTTCTAAGCTAAAACTGATAGAAATGAAATAATAAAACCTTTAAAACCTTAATAACTATTTCTAAAAGCTACCATAAACCAATTCAACTACAGACTGGAAGGACACAAACCTTTGAGACGGGTCTTTTTATCAAAGAATGTTTAGTGCGAAGTGTAACTACGCGGGTGATACCATCAGGACCGGGATGTTTATGTTCTATGCGTCCCAGCAACCATCTGCCAGGAGGTAAGCCATCTTCTTTAATTAAAACTACATTGCCAATTACAGGTTCTGGTATTTGGTAAGTCCATTTATGCCTTTGCAGAAATTGATTTAAATAATCTTGCGACCAGAGCCGCCAAAAGTCTTGTGTCATTTTTTGGGTTAGTTGCCAACGTCTAAGACTAGATATATTGGAATTTTCAAAGTTACTATCAGGTACTAAGACCAGAGGCTCTCCAACTAGAAAATGACCAGGAGTCAGCACTTCTAGCTCCTTTTGATCCTCAACATAAGAGAGCGGCCTCGAGTTAAGGCATGCCTCGATTTGAGCTAGGACGGTCGTTAGCTCTTCAAAAGTCAAGGTTGAATTACCGACTACTCGTCTGAGATGATACTTGGTAGACTTTATGCCCGACTCCCAGAGACCGCCTTGATTTGGGGCATGGGGAGTAATGAAAGTCCACTGAGTGCCATTATTCGCAAGACTCTCAGATAGCTCCTGTATGATCGTTGACTTCTCCTCGTCAAATAATTCAGTCAACTCACGCGCAGCTCCCACAAAATTCGTGCCGTTGTCACTGTACAACCGAGCACAGCGGCCTCTTCTGGCTACGAATCTTTTAAATGCGGCCAAAAAACCTTTAGCTGTCATGTCACTGACGGCCTCCAGATGAATAGCCCGCGTACACATACAGACGAACAGTGCAATATAGCCCTTGTAAGATTTATTGCCGCGACCTGGTGATACCCTAATATTTATAGGACCTGCATAGTCAACCCCACTGTTCAAAAATACCTTTTCCGGTGTAACACGCGGCGAGGGGAGTTGACCCATTAATTGGTTCCTGGTTTTACTTGAATACCTAATGCAAATAACACAATTTCGGTAACAAGCCTTCACCAGCAATTTAATTCCTACAACCCAGTACATAGACCTCAAATAAGTAATCATAGCTTGGGGTCCTCCATGCATGGTCTTCAAATGTGCGTCTGTAATCAATAGTTTCGTGAGGAAAGAATCCTTAGGTATAAGAATTGGATGTTTGCGATTATACTCCAATTGCGACATTTCCAAACGACCCCCTACTCTAATGATTCCTTCCGAGTCCAAGAACAAATTTAAAGATTTAAATTTACCTCTCGGATCCAACTTCAAGCCAGACGACTTCAATCCTTGAAATTCCTCAAGGAAGCACTCCTCTTGGCACTTCTTTAAACAAGTCTTCATTGCTTCATCAAGTTCCGTTTTCGTTAAAGAATGATCTCCTTGTTTTAATCGGTTTTCTCTAGATCTTGTATATTTTAAGAACCGTCTACAGTACGCTACAACTCTAACCAATTTTGGAAGTGATGAATATCTACACCAAAAAGAATGATCAAAAATTCCTGTGTGCACCTTCACTTTTTCTAAATTGGTAACCAAATGTTTCGGTTTTTTGTAATCGATTATTGACTCACGTAAGAATTGAGGCCCGTCAAACCAGAGTGAACTTTTGTGGAGTTCACCTGGAGCTACACCTCGGGAAGCACAATCAGCGGGATTTTGCTTAGACGAAACGTGGGACCAATGTTGGGTATCCAGAGTATTTAATATTTTTGATACACGATTAGCTACAAAGGTTTTCCAACGATTCGGGTGACAGTTAAGCCAAGCCAGAACTACCTCGGAGTCTGTCCACGCCCGTAAGTCCTCCACGTTTAAAACCTTAGCTACTTCTACCATCAGTTTGGCTAGTAAGACAGCCCCACATAATTCCAGCCTGGGTATTGAAACCTGCTTAACGGGAGCGACCTTTGTTTTTGCAGTGACTAGTGACACATGTATATGGCCTTCCTTATCAACCACTCTTAGGTATACCACGGCCGCATACGCCATCTTAGAGGCATCTGAAAACCCATGTAGCTGTATATTCATATCGTTGGAATATGTTCTGTACCATCTTGGAATTTCAATATTTGCTAAGGAAGGCAAGCTGCTTCGATACTCAGTCCATTCTTTTAAGACAGGGCTTGGTACTTCGTCGTCCCAACCAATACCTACTAACCAAAGCCTTTGTATGAGGATTTTTGCTATTATTATAGTAGGCGCCAGCCATCCCAACGGGTCAAACAATCTAGAAATATCTGATATAATTTTCCGTTTAGTTATAGGTGCGGCAGGGAGCATCAGTTCTACGGAGTATTTAAAGACATCAGCTCGGGAATCCCAGGTAAGTCCAAGTATTTTTGTAATGTTATCTAGTTTGATTTTTATTTCTTCATCCTTGCCCATATCGCGTTTTTCTATTCTACCCAGTAATTCTTTGCTATTGCTATTCCATTTTTGTAACTGGAATCCCCCCTTCGATAGGACTGTATTAATTTTATCGTAAATCTGAAACGCTTGATTTACATTTTCAGCTCCTGACATCAAATCATCCATATAAAAGTCATTCCGAATGATTGACGCCACTTTAGGGTCATCCTGACACTCATCGTAAGCTTCTTGATGAAGAGTATGAACTGCCAAAAAAGGTGCTGAAGCTGTCCCAAAAGTTACAGTTATCAGTTCGTATTCCTCTATGTCTTGGTCTGATGAATCCCTCCATAAAATACGCTGAAATATTGTATCCCTACGATCGACTAATACTTGTCTGTACATTTTGACGATATCGGCGACAAGACATATAGGATTTATTCTCCAGCGCATGATGATATGACGAAGATCAGCCTGTAGTGCTGGCCCAACCAATAACATATCATTTAAGGAAATCCCATTGGGACCCTTACAGGAAGCATCGAATACAACGCGAACTTTAGTTGTAATCTTATCGTCCCTAACGACAGCATGGTGAGGTAAGTATACAGGTGTTTGACTGTTAATTTTATTATCTGTTATTTTTTCCATGTGACCTAGTTCCAAATATTCTCTAATAACATTCTTGTAGTTTTCTTTTAATGTAATATTTTTATTTAACCTTACCTCTAGACTTTTAAATCGTTTTTCAGCTATAGCTTTCGACTCACCAAACTGAGGCACCATGCCGGTATCGTGAAACGGTAAGCGTACAACATACCGACCCCTCTCGTTTCGGGTTGTCGTAGCAATGAATAACTCCTCGCATTTAATTTCTTCATCGGTAAGCATGCTACTGATTTCAGACGGTTCATTTTCTAGTTCCCAAAAGCGTTTTAATAAATCGTCCGTTTCAAAACTAGCATGCATCACAGTAATGTGTGAAGAAATATGGGAAGTATTGTCTACGTCAGATACGCCCGACACTATCCACCCGAGTGTTGTATCTTGTGCTAATAAAGTACCACTCAAATCACGCTTAATGCCCGATTGAATGATCTGGCTATAAACCTCAGTGCCCAACAAAATATCAATTTTGTTGGGCCTGTAGTACTCAGGATCCGCCAAGTCATTTTCTGTCAAGTCTACCCATTCTACTCTTGTTACTTTCGTTACCGGGAGAAGGGCAGTCACCGACTTTAGTACATAGGCATTAACGTTTATGTGAAGGTTAGGATTTTTCCTAGACCTTATCTTGACCGTGACGGTGTATTTTGATGTAACACTTTTCTCACCGCCGACACCTAACACTATGTTCCTTGTGGCAGTCCTATTTAAACCTAAATATTGGACCATAGACTCCGTAATGAAGGATCCTTGCGACCCTTGATCTAGCAAAGCCCTAATCACCCTGTATGTACCATCTTTCGACTCAGCCTTAACCAAAGCCGTGGTTAACAACACTGTTTTACTATTCCCGGTCGAAAGACAGGACACCATTGTCTTGCTAGGGTCTGACCCTTGCGCGATAACTTCTTTCGTATGCGCCTTTAAACTATTTGTAGATGAAACTCCCGTTCGAGAATCACTAACATTCTCAACAAGTGGCCCGGTATCCTCAGTGTCCTGGTGCAACAATGAATGATGACGGCGCTTACACGTTTGACACCGTACTGGAATTTTACAAACTCGGGCAGAATGATTGCTTTTAAGACAGATAAAACATAAGTTATTCTCCTGAACGAACTGTCGTCGCTTTGCAACAGTCTCTTTAGTAAACACCTGGCAATTGCCTATTTTATGATTTGCTGAACAAAAAGGACACCCTCTATCTTTAGAACCCTTGTCTTTAACCGCAAGAAAAGACTGCATACCCTTTTGAGGATTCTTGGGCACTTTGGACTTTATTTCAATACCTTCAAGACCTCTAAATCGACCGGTAAGAAAACGAGAGAATTCT